CCTCACAGTTGCGATGGAGCTACGGTGTTCGTCTACTATCACAAGCTGACGACGAAGTTCAGGAAGGTACCATCAGACTTCCCGAAGACGATGAAGAACAACGTCCCTTGTTTCCCTCGTCACCCGAGCGCTACACTGACGAGCCTTACGATGACCACGCGCAAACTAATGGTTCGGACTCGACTGCGACTCTCGCCGCAGGTCATACTCCGATTCCCGAAATCATAGTCATCGATACGAATACCCATCCTGGAATGAAGAGGAAAGACTCGAAATTCTACAATTCATTCCCCAATTCTCCGAACCAATCCCGTATCAACTTGCCAGATATCGATACTGCCGACAACTCACGCGCCAACTCGGACGATGAGGAAGACGAGGACAATTTGAATAACGATCAAGTACCTAGCTTGCCGCTCCCCATGCATCGCAGGCCTAGTCACGCAGGCAGCGTCTCCTCTACACGGTCACCAGGGATACGCAAATTCTTCCGACACGCGAAACGGCGCGTTGCTCGCGTTTGGCTCACCTTTAACGAGTTCATGACCGTCCCATTGTGGGCGGCACTGCTCTCTATAATCGTCGCACTCGTCCCAGCGTTCCAGCATGCCCTCGATGTACACATGCAGCCCGTGAAAGGAGCCCTCACGAGCGCGGGGAACTGTTCGATCCCGATTACTTTGGTCGTCCTAGGAGCGTACTTCTATCCTGAGAAGAAGGACGACGAGGCGAGCGTTAAACCCACGAGTTCGAATCCTCCGGGTCAGACAGACCTCGAGTCTAGTTCGTCTTCGACTTTGATCCAGCAGATGAGGGATGTTTTACACGGTGGTCGTGATAATAAACCTGTGCAGGCACGTCCTACCGGGACTGGAGAGACGAAGACTGTGTTTATCGCTGTGCTGTCGAGAATGATACTCACCCCCGTATTGTTGATGCCTTTGATGGCGTGGGCTGCCAAGTTCGATATGCAGAAGGTGTTCGATGAGTAAGTTGGTCTTCTCTGCGTGAGCTGTTTCGTCGTTACTGATCGGGTGTTCGGAATAAAGTCCTGTCTTCGTGGTTTCGAACGTCTTGCTAGTCGCTTCACCACCTGCGTTGACGCTTGCGCAGGCGCGTTGTCTTTCTTCCTGCATTCCTTCGCTCATACTCAATCATATGTTCCCCAATAGATCACACAAGCTGCTTCTGGCGACGCCTTTGAGCGATTGATTAGCCGTACGATATTCTGGTCCTATTGTATTGTAACACCTCCTACGACGATCTTGTACGTCGTTGTGGGATTGATCTTTTCTCGTTTGTGATTCACGCTTTGTTTTCTTTGGACTGATTTTTCGCATACATATTTCCTCGTGTATAGAATGCTTATTGCTCTTGCTCTTGTTCTGTGATCTGTTTCTGTGGCGTTTCATGGATGATGTTCAGCTTTTTCGTATCATAGGGTTTTACTATCTAGTAGTTAGTTATTGTGAAACACACGTACCACCGTTAGACTACAGAAATTCGGGCGTGAATGGACTCAACACCATGACGAGGTCAACATGAGGATATGTCCCAATCATGGACTCCGCCTGCAGCAAAACGACTTGCGTTAATATTAGTTCTGTTCCAAGAGTGGCCGTCTGATCTTCAACTCACGAAGTTCAAGCCGGGGGCCGATGTTCAAAAGTTCATACAGAGCTACTACACGAGGCTGAGGGAGTGAGAAGTTGTATCAAGTCCGTTGTAGAGTTTAGTCCCACTGCCAGTCCGTAGCTTTGGGCTCTGACGCCCAATGTGATGAAGAATATCCCTATTCCTGGCTTTTTATCCCATGCTTCACTAAAGGCAAAAACAATGGCAATCCTTTTGAGGACCATAACCCAAGATGGGGATCGAACCCACAACCTTTGCCTTATTTATGCTCATGTGCTATAGGAAAGCAACGCACTACCATTGTGCTACTTGGGCGTTGTTGACGGGTTGAGAAGAGGCGTTGTGTCGGAATCTGACTTGGTGAGTCCCGAGTCGGTTGTAAACACCCGTAGGCATAGGTGCTTCGGACGGAGGGAGGTGTCTGGTCTCAGGGGCAACTTGACGCGCCTACATTTGACATAAACGCGAACCTGCAGCAAGTGCGGTGGTACTGCAACAGTGGGTAGATTGTCATTGATAGTCAGTAGCAAAAAGAGGGTTCCGCTCGGCACCAGAGTACATAGCCGTCCGCTTGAGGGCCCTGAATGAGTTTTCTGGGGTGAAGTGGTGCAAGAGAGAAGATTCAGCAATTCATGACAGCAAGAACTTCTCTCTCCGGATGAGATGAGGAAGTCGCCGTCGGATATTCGGTTCACATAATTACTGGCAGTGCGGTAACTGGTTAATCATGTATCGGCAATACGAAAGACACAACGCTCGAACGGGGAAGTCGTTCAACGTTGGTTTCAGAGATGATTCGGGCACCGTTTGCCGCCGACGGTGAAGCGGCTGATTTAAATTTGGAGGTTTGCTCACATTAAGTTGAATGAGCGGATACAGGATTGAGCGCTCCTTCGGAACTCATCCGATCGTACTTGGCACCGTGAGTTAGCTAGTGACAGGAATCACAGAAATAGAGTTAATAGGATGCGCCCTGTGGTGCATTGATGTATGCAATGCCATCGCGAACGTTGGATGCACTGCGATCAACGGACTACAGCAAAGCAAAGATAAGTCACAACCTCGTTGATGAAGAACAAGGAGTAAAAGATCGCCTGAGAAGTCCGTCAGGGAGTCTGTAGCAAAGAATCGAGGAAGGGCAGTGTGTACGTACCATATTCGCGTTATCCAGCAGTTGGTCAGAACTGTGATACTTTGAATCGTGGACCACATTGGGTGTCTCCTGCTCTAATAGGTGCAGTCTGGCCATCTTTACAGCAATGACGGCAATCAAGGAGAACCAGTAACAAGCCAGGAGCTGTCAGCAAAGTCAGCATGAAGTTGTAGGGGTCTCAGAAGTACTATCGACAAACCAAACTCGCCTTTATCGTTTGGAGTGACCTACCCCTCCCTTCTCTCCACAGAATGAAAAGGACGACCAGTAGACCGACGCTATTCAACGGCAACAGGCCTACACCCAGACCCTCTGCAGCCAAACGGGTCACTTCGAGGAGCGTTATCACGGCAGTCGCCAGAACGAGCAACAGATACATAAGATGCATCACTGTGGGATAATGAAAGCTTTGCAGTCCACTTGCGCTATCCTTTCCCTTGCGAACGTTAACGAATCCCAGGGAGACTAATGCGAGTACAGCAAGTAGACCAAAGGATGGTGCAGGGACGATTAACGTGTCAAGAGTACAAGTTGAAGGGGATCCCTATGAATCGTCAAATTTGGTACAAGTCAGTATTGCACGAACCATGGTACGCACTGAGATCGTATATCTGTTGGAGCAGAGAGGCATGGTGGTGGTTCCGTACAAAGAGAGACACCAGGGCGGCTGATGTCGCACTGGCTGCGGTGTTGCGTAAGTATTCAGGGGATATGTACGCGAGATTGAACTTTATGTGGGAGATTAGTAGGTGGCGAAACACAGGAAAGAGACGATACTAAGAATAGGCGGAAATGGGATAGAGCCGGGGCCATGTTTGGCATTTCCATCACGTTTGTTCCGAAAATTTCTGAGCTAAGTTATTCACGTTGATCCTGCGTTGCTCCAAGAACTTGCGCGCTCTTGCACCCAGCGTTGCGACCACTTTGAGGACAGGGAGGAAGTTCAATTCAAGTTCGAAACGAGGAAAAAATCATAAGTCCGAGTCGGGAGTTTGATTGCCGCTGAATTGCCGCGTAGCTCCTCTTGTTATTATCCTGCATCGAAGGCATGGAAGTACATGTACACGATACAAAGGACGGATTGCACAGCAGGCCTAGCCATTATGAAAAAGGAATAAAGGGTAACAGTACTATGTAGTATAGGAGAGATGCATGCAGTGTAGGTTGATCGTACAGATGTGAATGTGGTGTAGAAAGTCGGGACGCGGAAAAAGTAACTTTCTTGGCCACTGGTATCAGAAAATGAATATGCAAATGGAGCACCGGCGTGATGATCCATAGGTCGTTCCTCCGGTTTGGTCGTCAATCAGCTAAGCGGTTGCGTCTGAGCTACTGCCTGCCTCCACGTTTTCTCCGGGGTCCAGCCAGCTCTCCTCGACAGTCGCCTTCACACGCCTAACGTACTCCTTCATATTTTCTCGATACAGCTGAGCTGCCTCGGCATTTGCGGGACTGTTCGGGTTCGGGTCGTGGAGAAGGCTTTGGATGGAGGTTAGGATGGCGGCGACGTCGTATGTCGGTGACCATCGATTTTGGAGGATGTCGAGACAGAGCTCGCCGTTAGCATAGACGTTAGGGTGGAACATTCGCGAGAGGAACTTGACTGAGGGTGGTTTGTTCGGATAAGATTCGTCGAAAGTCAGCACAAGTTTGAATGTTCCATCTTCGAAGGGAGTGTCGGCTGTTCAGGGCCATTGCGAGTCAGATCTAGCTACAAAAATCATGCTAATCGCAACTCACCTGGACCGAAGATTACTGCGTTCCACAGCATGATATTGTCTGGGCAAGGGCTACCAGAAATCCCGCCTGGTGGGTCGGACGACAGCCTCTTGAAGTCACGAATGAGTCGGCGCTTGCACGGATTGGACTGGATACGAATATTGTGTTAGCTCATATCGTATCTATGTAGAAAGACTACTGACCATGTTGGAAGAGTGAAAGAAAGGTGGTGGGCAGGCGTAAAGCCACTGTGCTGACAAGGCGTCTGACTCGTGGGAGAGCTGTTGCTCACTGTTTGGCTGGGGCACCGCCACTGTGGGCTCCAGCGCTTTGACAGCTTGAACCACAGCGCTCAGGCAGGCTCAGGCTGGCAGTGGCACAACTCCTATACAGCACATGCATATGTGGTAGAGCGCGCCTGGGCCGATGCCGCTAACAGGATACCTCATCAAACTACGTGAGCCACTCACGTAGTATGCTTCCTATCCTGTTTCTCGACATACAACGAATTTTCTTGGGAATACGATGGGATTACAGGCCTTTTTAGTCGAGTCAAATTCCCTCTAACTCATGTGTGAAGCCCGATCGCTCCAGTATCGTGTTTCTAGTGAGCTTATTCAGGTTTACACATCTTGAATTTCTAGGCTTCGCCGGTACCCCTGCGATGTTGTAACAAAACCTCTCGTCAGTGTCGTCGCGGATTCTACTTCCACATCAGTTACAATGGTAGAATGAAGTGAATTATCCGGTGATGAAAAGATGTGTCCCCTGCTGCTCTGACGCCCGTTTCTTCGGTTGGGAAGGCCAGTGAATGCAAGGGAAGGGCTGAAGTTTAAATTTGTTGGATGAACCTCGCAGTCCAACAGCACGGCGGGGCTCCCAGTTAGATCTCCAGTAGCCTGACCATTTTCAGCGGAAATATGGCATGAGCACCGAGTCGTTCTACTAGTACCTCAAGCCATTAAGCGAGTTTAGTTATTGAGTCGAGTCTGTCTCCCGCCCTTCAACCTTTTCGCGGCCAAAAAAGCCTAGTCGTAAATGGCCATCCGTCTTGTCGTAGATCTGTTATCGTGGGCTCTGAGTTGTGCATGTCAACTTACTTTGATTGGACCAAGGTTTCCATGTTCCCTGGATCGTCCTGACCAGTGCGGAGGGTGGCGTGGAATAAACCAATCGTCAGGCACATTTGAATACCAAGATCGTCAGCACCATCTCGTCAGCGGGCCCTTCATCATGCGTGAATTCCTGCAGCTGCCTGCCACGGCCTCGCCAGTGGTTGTACAACAACCATGTTGAACCTCACGATTTCAGACTGGTCTATCCTCTATGACAAGTACCAGCTCCAGATTTTCCACTCGTCGGGTCGCCACGTTACAGTCGAATTGGTCAAAGCTGGCGTAGCGCTCATTGGGATCTTTGTACTGGGTCGTATTGTCAATTTTGTTCAGGGACTTCGTGTAACTACAATGACGATCCTTCAAATGAATTTTGAGCTAAACTTTTTCTTTGCCAATATAGGCTATCAATCATCTACCCGGTCAACGGCCGCCTTTCTTTCCCATGGGGTTACCTGGAGCGCTATTCCCGACGTCGTGGTGGAATGCGGGGGCGGATACACATTGGATTCGACGTAAATATTGTGCGTTCGGATTCGGATATTTTCTTTTTCCGTAGAGCGGAATCTAACGTTCCTTGAACCTCAGTATACAAGGATAGCGAGACGATCTCTATAGTTCCATGGCTCGCTGGAAGTCCCCTAATCTATTCTTCGAATTTGGATGTTCTTCGACATGTCGCATCAAGCCAAAAGTCTTGTTTCATCAAACCGGAAAATGCGAGCAGGATTTTACTGTGAGTGCATCGCTCGACCTTTTGACCTTCGTAGGTTGCATATTTCTGACCCCAATGCTCTAGAATGTTTGGAATCAATCTTGCAGCCGCCGAAGGAGAGGTATGGCGAAGACATAGACGGATAATGGGGCCTGCCTTCAACCAGAAGCTATACCAGCTTGTGTGGGAACAGACTATCAAGACCTATCGCGACATGGTCTCGTCGGAAGGTTGGGATACGCAGAGCACAGTCAAAGTTCCGGCTGTCCAGGCTCTCACTTTCAAGGTGAGCTTCGTAGACACCATCATGATGCCATATTCTTACCAGTATCCGGCATGGCAGTTTGCTCTCCTGGTCCTTGGTATTTGTGCTTTCGGTTTCGACTTCAACTGGTATACTCTCTCATAATGTCTTCGCTGAGATCAGTGCTGACAACCTCCATCTTCCTAAGGACCGCGCCACCAGAAACAACCGAGGGTGAAATGTCCGTTCAAGAGGCTATTCGCACTATCTTGGACGAGAACATGCTCTTAGTCTTCGCTCCTGATTGGGTCAAAAAGCTGCCCTTCGAGAGGTGAGACTCTTTTTGGTAACCACTTCGGGCTCAGAGGT